TTCCAGTTATCATTCTGCTTTGCTTGCATTTTAATAATTCAGATGTGTTTTGGTTTTACTGCCTTGGCCATGACTAAACTGGTTTGAACCACTTTGAAGCCCTGATCCAAAGGGAGAATGAAAGAAGAAAGGGCCAGTTATCTCTTTTCTTGAGGAGGTCATAAATTAATGGGAGAAGGACACACCAGCAAATATTTTGTTATGATGAACTAAAGGCTACAGATGCATTTGGCTGCAAATGGCATGTGATCAGATTTTAGGCTTAGTTGATTGAGTAGCTCAACAATGTCTTCTAGGACCCAGGCTATTCTTTCTCCTTTTGTTAGTGTGACTTGTAATGATCCTTTCTTATAAAGTAGGAAACCTTGCCCAGAAAATTCCTAAAGAAATCCTCTCAGACTTCACTGTCCATAATTGGTCCATACCTGGCCCATTTCTGAACAAAATACTAGCAGGGAGAATGTGACTTCCCTGATGGGTTTAGGCCAATTAGAAATTACTCCTGGAGTGTCTAGCTGCTCTTTCCTGATTCCTGGGTGTGAGAAGTAGACACCCAAACAAAATCAATTCTTGGTCAGACGAGAGAATTGGGGAAAAAGATTATGGAGAAAATCAAACTCTGTAAAAGTATGGGGGCAGGAAGTAACCAATACTAAGAAAGGGGGTAAGGAAAACTTTATGGAAGAAGTGTTATTTAAGCTGCTATTATGAATCTGAGCTTGGAGGTAAAGAAAAGTAAAAAATAAAGCTAGGAAGCCAAGGGAAATTCTCAATGAGATGGCATGACACAATGGCCGCAACAACGGACTTGAACATAGCAAGGATCATGAAGATAGGGCAAGACCAGCAACATTATATTCTGTCATACGTGGGTCACCGTGAATCAGAACAGACTCGACAGAAACTAACAACAACAAAGATAGCAGCATATGTACAAAGATGTGAAACAATATGGCACTTTAGGGGAATAATTCTATGAGGCTGGAATATAGTTTATGCAAAAGATGATACTGGAGAATAAGATCAGAAAGTGTGGTCCTATAGGTTAGAGTAGAACTGTCCCATAGGGTTTTCAAGGCTGTAATCTTTGTGGAAGCAAATTGCTTCATCTTCCTTCTATGGAATGACTGGTGGGTTTGAACCACTGACCTTTTGATTAGCAACCCAGCATGTAACCATTGCTTCACAAAGGCTGTTTCTCACTCTCATATCTTAAATGATGATTTTTCTACCTAGAGTCTACTGTATCACTGGATGTCTACTCATCCCTTGGGGCTTCACTTACAAACATCTTGAGGAGGCTGTCCTTCAAGCTTTATACTAGCTAAGATGTGCATGGTGTTTGTACTTACATAGTATCTTTTATTAAATTTTTTTTAATTTTAAAAGCTTGTTTTACATTCAACATTACATGTACATTTAGTTTCATTCCCCATTTACCATGTCCATCCCTAACCCAATCTCCTCCCCTCCCCACCCTGTAACCCTCCCCCTGTGCCCCTCATATTTATGCACTCCTGTTTATCCTACATTTCCTCAATTTGAATATTGGTCCTCTGGTGCCCTGTGGTCCATTGCTCTAAGGGATGTATTACCATAGCGTATGTGGGTGTGTCATCCTGAGTGGAGTGGTCTGCATATACATCTTGTTAACTATTGGGCTGAGAGCCAGCTCCTGGGGGTGCATTTTATTCTAGGCGTAGAATGTATTCCAGGGCCATAGTATTGGGGGTCTCACCAGACTCTATCTGACTAGCAATTCTGGTCATTATTGAGTTTTTGGACTTTGTTCCAAGTTTTCCCTCTCGCTCTATCCAGGATCTCCAGATTTGATCCTTTCCTGAGTGGTTGGCATTGGTAGCCAGGCACCATCTAGTTCTTCTGGTCTCGAGGGCCATCGTGTCGTAGGGCTGATTGCTTCCAAATGCCTTATTATTATTATTATTATGGCATTCTTCTTCACTTCCAATGCTAGTAGACCATTAGCTGCATCTTAGATGGCCGCTGGAAAGCTTTTAAGGCCCCACTCACTACTCACCAATGTAGGATGTGGAACAAGGCTTTTATGTTACATACTATCTTTACCTCCTTCTCCTTGTCATTATGCTTGTGATTTCTTTCTTTTTATTTTTTTAAAATTGTACTTTAGGTGCAAATTTACAGAGCAGAATTTGTTTTACATTCAACATTTTGTGTACACTTGGTTTTACTCCCCAGTGACCTTCCTCAACCCTAACCCAGTAACACCCCACCTCATGCCTTTCTTAGTTATGCACCCCTGTGTGTCCTGCTTTTCCTCTGTGCGAGTGTTGCCCCTCTGGTGGCCCATCTTTTGTATCTCCATAGAGTAGGTGGGTGCATCACCCTGGGTTGAGTGTTCTGCATGTACATCTTGTTTACTGTTGGACTGAGAGCCAGCCCTTGGGACTGAGTTTTATCCCAGGCCTGAAGTATATCCCAGGGCCTTAGTCTTGGGGGTCCCACCAGACTCTATCAAACTAGTAATTCTGGTCATTATTGTGTTTTTGGATTTTGTTCCATGTTTTTCCTCCCATTCTATCCAGGATTTCCAGTTTTGATCCCTTCCCAAGTGGGGTCTTGCGGTCCACCAGGTCCTAGGGCTGATTATTTCCAAATGCCCTTGGTTTTTTGCACTCTTCTTCACTTCTGATGATAGGAGACCATTAGCTGTGTCTTAGATGGCCAATCAAAAGCTTTTAAAACCCTAGTTGTACTGACAAAAGTAGGTTGTGGAACAAGATCTTTATGTATTTTGTTGTGCCATTGGAGTCTGGTGTCCCCCAGTACCATGGTCCTGAGTCAGCAGATCCAGTGGATCTGTCTCCCACAGTGTCTGGCAGTCTGTGAAGGACTGCTTTATGTAATTGTTCTGTGTGACTTCTTAATGCCTATCTTCCCCACTAAGGAGCTCCAATGGTGTAGTAGTTAAAGCATTTGGCTACTAACCAAAAAGTTGGTGGTTCAAACCTATCAGCTGCTCAATGGAAGAAAGATGAAGGAGTCTGCTCTGTAAAGATTTATAACCTTGGAAATGCAATGGTGTCACTATAAGTCAGAACTGGCTCAATGTCAATGAGTTTGCTTTGGTTTTGGAGCTTCTCCAATAGGTTATAAGCAACATGATGGCAGAATAATATATATCTTGTTTTCTACTGTATTCTCCAGTAGCTAATAGTCTCTTACTCATAATACCAAAAACCAAACTCACTGCAATTGAGCCGATCCCAACTCATAGTGACTGTCTTTGGGTTTCTGAGGTGGTAAATCTTTAAGGAAGTCTTCCAGTCTTCCTTCCACAGAGTGGCTGGTAGGTTTGAACTCCAGCCTTCTGGTTAGCAGTCTAATGCCTTAGGCACTATGGCACCAGAGCTGCTTTGCTCATAATAGTTGTTCTATAATATTACTGAAACTTAATTTTATGTTTGTATGTATAGATATATATGTAATGTACATAAATAACATATGCAAGTATGTATATTATACACATATACAGGTATGTGTCATTTAATGTCCATGATATGTTCTGTGAAATAGGGTGCTATGTGATTTGTATATTGTGTAAACACCATATTATATACAGGACAGATGTGCTCAGGACAGTCCCCAGGTGGACCCAGGACCTGTAAAAAGCACTATGTGAAAATTCTGGCTGTGCCACTGCTGGTCCTGTGTGGTCCAATTGAGTATATCCCAGCTTGCCACCACTGGCTCACTTCCTTTCCTTCCTCCCTGCCTGCTCCCCCCCCCCACCACCACCACCAATGGGCTTCAAACTCTTCCAGCCCTGTCCATTCCTTCTCTGCCTTTGCTTCTTCCCATGGCTACCTTTCCTGTTCATCCTTTCGTCACTGCTGTAGCCAGTAGGTTGCCACCCCAGGAGGAGCTGTACAGGGCACCCAGGCCAAGTGGGGCAACAATCTCAGTGGGGCATCCCCCTCAGCTCCGGTAGCATTTTTGGCCTCTGCCTGATGTGTGTGTAGTGGAACAGTAAGCCACAAATTGGCGTCAGGACTCCCTCCTCTGGCCACCCCAGGGCTGCGGCACCTGCAGACCTGGAGAGCTAATAAGAGACATATTGGATCTCTGCACTTAGCAAGGTACTTCCACTATGTCCCTTCCTCCCATCCAGATTTCTGAACTCTATTATAGTAACCTTATGGGACCATGGACATACATGTAATTGGATGTTGCCCAAACAGACATTGCTACTTGTATATACATACATATAATATGATATAGTATAATACAGTACTATATATGTGTGTGTATGTGTATGTGTGTGTATATATGTGTGTGTGTGTATATATATATATCTCTCTATGTGTGTAGGTGTATGTTGTTTGTTGTTATGTGCCATCGAGTCGAATCCGACTCATACCGACCTCTCCTTGGGTTTCTGAGGCAGTATCACTAAAGTAGATTGCCCCACCTTCCTTCTGAGGAGTGGTTAGTGGGTTTGAACTGCCAGCCTTCTGGGTTGCAGTCAAGTGCCTTAGGTACTGTGCTACCAGAGCTCCATATATATATATATATATACACCTATGTATATATGTGTGTGTGTGTGTATAACTCAACGGCACACAACAACAACAACTATATATGTTGTTATGTGCCTTTGAGTTGGCCCTGACTCATAGCCACCCCTCCTTGGGTTGCCGAGGGGGTATCACTACGGAAGTAGATCGCCCAGCCTTCCTTCCAAGGAGTGGCTGGTGGGTTTGAACTGCCAGCCTATATATAAGTGTGTGCGTGTATGTGTATGTGTGTGTATGTATGTGTGTGTATATATACATGTGTGTATATATACACACACACACACACATACATACACAGAAATTATATCTAATTTGGAAACTTGAGTTTATCTTTCACACCAAAGGTATACCTCATAGTCTCATCACTGCTTTCTGCTCTATAAAAATAAAATAACCCATAAATACAGGGTTTTTTTTTTTAATTCTGTCTTTATTTTTATCTAGGATGCTGGAGAAATGGTTCGTTCCTTTGTTGGTGGTTTGGAACTTGTTGTCAATTTACTGAAATCAGACAACAAAGAAGTTTTGGCAAGTGTATGTGCTGCTATTACCAATATTGCAAAAGATCAAGAAAATTTAGCTGTTATTACAGATCATGGAGTTGTCCCTTTATTGTCCAAACTGGCAAATACAGTAAGTAACACACTTTTTTTTTTTTTTTTAATGAATCCCAAAAAATTTCATGCCAGGGGGAAAGAGAAGGGCAATGTACCAAATGGGAGTGACCAATATGGCAGCATTGAGGATGAGAAAGACATAGAGAGGTACATGGGAAGTACAGACAACAAATATGAACCCTTTTGCACATACAGTACTGAGTTGTCAGTGAAGGCAAACAGGGGTATATGGACGGATAGATAGGTGGACAGGCTAAACAATTAGGTATGTCTAAATGGGGAGTGTATCCAAGATCATATATAGGGTTGGCAGATAATGGTCCTATAAGTTTATGTGAGTGATCAGAATTCCCAGGTGTATAGTAGAGCTGACAAGGGGCAAGGTTATGGTCATTGCTTGGCCACAGCCAGCTACCCAGAGGGACTGAGTAGTTGATCCTGCGGGGTTGGGACCATAGTCGCAGGGGACATCAAGCTCAATTGGCATAACATACTATACAAAACATTGTTCCACCTCCTACTTTGGCGAGTAGCGACTGGGATCTTAAAAGCTAGCAAGCTGCCATCTAGATGCAACAATGGGTGTCTCCTCATCAAGAAGAAAGAAGAAAACCAAATGAATGGAAACAATCAGTCCTAGCGACTGGTACACCATCTGATCTGGAACCTATACAACTATGAGACCTGAAGAACTAGATGGTACCCGGCTACCACTGTCATCCACTTGGAAGGGATGTACGAGATCCTGCATAGAGAGGGAGAACAATGTGGAACAAAACTCAAAATCATTTGGAGGTAAAAAAAAAAAAAAAAAAGGTGGGGACCAGGTTTGCTGGTCCAATAGAGCCTGGTGAAACCACTGAGACTATGGCCCCTAGCTGCCCTTCAGTTCTGGGATTGAACCCACACCTGTGGTTTCCAGCCAAACAAAGAACAGGCAAGTGAGTTAAACATTTACCTCAAGTAGACACATGCCCTGGAGAGAACAATCATGGGAGAAGGAAGGGCTGCTTATGCACAGGGAGACAGCTCAGGACACAGAAGAGTATGGAGGGATGGACACTGGGAAGAGGTAACTATGGGGAGGAAGTGGGAGGGGAGCTGTTGCATTGTAAATTTTGGTCAATGACGTGAGACAAAGTATATGTGAACTGCTGTATGAAAAGTGAATTTACTCTGTAAATCTTCACCCAAATCAAAATAAAATTAAAAAAAAAAAAATCAAAAAAAAAAAAAATTTCATGGCTTACTGGCCAAAACAATGAACTTACAGTTAGGATACATGACTTGGATTCAAGTTTAATATTCATCTTTCATGAGGTGTGTGATTTTGGTCAACTCATTTAATTTCTCTGAGGCCAATATATATGTATGTATTATTATAAACTATGAAATATTAATATGCAAGATTCTTTTGAAAAAGAAGCTGTTTTTATTTGCCATTGACAAGTAAAACAGTGGCAAATATAAGTATTTATATAAGTGTTTCTTCTTATCTGTGCCACCACAGCTCTTTTTCTCTTATCTTCAATACCGTTATCACTATTATTATCCTTAAGGTAATTGTCTATACCAACATCATAAGTTAAATGTGCCTCCTCCAGCTTAGCAAACTTAGATTGGCGGCATTCTTGAGCTAGAAGACTTTGGCAATCACTGTATAACTTATGTAGAGCTGTGCCAGATGGAATAAACAGGATTAAGAGACAATGACTTCACCATGACCAGAAGTGTTTGAGCACAGCTTGGAGTACCACTTGGAACAAATGTTGTAGATCAGAAATTCAAACACTGAAAGGATGCTTGGTCTAGAAAACTTTTTAGCGTCGGGGTAATATTGAGTTCCTAAGATTATCTGCCAGTTTCAGTTAAGTTTCAGTTAAGTTAAGTAGCTAGCTAATCCTCTTCTCTTGACTCATTGACATGCTAGTTGGTAATAAAAATCTAGCACATAAACATGGTCTCACAGGATCATTAAAATGCCTTTTCCACAATTCATTCTCCTTTGTGCAGAATAATGATAAACTGAGGCGTCATCTAGCTGAAGCTATTTCACGTTGCTGTATGTGGGGCAGAAATAGAGTAGCCTTCGGTGAGCACAAAGCAGTGGCTCCACTAGTGCGCTACCTGAAATCAGATGATACCAATGTGCACCGAGCAACAGCTCAGGCCTTGTACCAACTCTCAGAAGATGCTGATAACTGTATCACCATGCATGAGAATGGAGCAGTAAAGGTATAGTGCAATGACTTTGTGATTTAGTCCAAGTTAGATAAACATAAGCTGGAAAAAAACTTTAGTAATTGTAAGATTTTACTAATGAGGGCATTTAGGTAAGCCAAGTTATCATAGTTATGCTGCTGAAAACTTGTACAGACATAAGACCAAAGAATATCAAATGTACTTAGCAAAATAAATAATCATTCCATAATTTGAATTTGAGTAAAGCAAATGCACAGTACATGAACAATCAGTAGTACTCATAATTCTATTTGATGTATTGTTTACTTAGCATGTAAATAATAAAAGATAGTCAGTCATATCCATATGCTGCTGCTGTTGTTGTTGTTAGGTACCAACAAGTTGATTTTGACTTGTAGTGACCCCATGTGACACAGTAGAATTGCCCCATAGGGTTTCATAGGCTGTAATCTTTACAGTGATAGAAATGACACTGGAGATCACAAGATAGAATTTTTCAAGGCCAATGACTTACTCATCGCAAATACCTTCTTTTAATAACATAAATGGTGGCTATACATGTGGACCTTGTCAGATGGAACATATAGAAATCAGATCAACTACATCTGTACAAAGAAGCAATGGAGAAGCTCAATATCATCAGTCAAAACAAGGCCAGGAGCTGACTGTGGAACACCATCAGTATTTCATATACAAGTTCCAGTTGAAGCTAAAGAAAATTAAAGTAAGTCCATGAGAGCCAAAATATGACCTTGATTATATCCCACCTGAACTTAGAGACCATGTGGAAACAGATTTGACATGTTGAACAGCAATGACTGAAGACCAGGTGAGTTGTGACTGGATGTCAGAAGATACTCTGAAACTTGCTCTTGAACGTAGAGTGGCTAAAGCAAATGAAAGAAGTGATGAAATAAAGAGCTGAACAGAAATTTCAAAGGGTGGCTCAAGAAGACAAAGTAAAGTATGATAATAAAATGTGCAAAGATCTGGATTTAGAAAATCAAAAGAGGAGAATATGCTCAGAATTTCTCAAGCTGAAAGAACTAAAGAAAAATTAAAGCCTCAAGTTGCCATAATGAAGGGTTTTGTGGGCAAAATACTGAACAATGCAGGAAGCATTAAAAGAAAATGGAAGGAGCTTGTCAGAAGCCTCCAAACCATGAGAGCCAAGTGGAGGAAGAAGCGAATGCACAGGCTGAAGCGCAAAAGAAGAAAGATGAGGCAGAGGTCCAAGTAAACTCTAGTGTGTGCATCCACGAAAACCACAACAACAGGAATATGGAGTGCTGGAGGCAGGGGACATTGGTACAAGTTGTTCACTGCATGCTATTGTCTAGAATTTCCATCTCAGTGGATCTAGGACTTCATCGCCATTGTATCGCTGTGAACACCTCTGAGAGGCCCAAGTGCTCATATCAAATTAGTCCCTTTTGATCCTTTGCCCTGAACATTCTGGACTAGTTCTGTTCTCAGTTGTCACTGAGTGTAACATGTACACAATAAATCATCTCTTCTGCTGTCTTAGCTGAAGAATCAAAAAAAAAAAAAAAGAAAGAAAATGGAAGGAATACACAGAGTCACTGTATCAAAAGAATTGGTTGATGTACATCTATTTCAGGAGGTAGCATATGATCAGGAACGAACAGTATTGAAGGAAGAAGTCAAAGTTACACTGAAGGAACTGGCAAAAAAAAAAAAGACTCCAGGAATCGGTGGAATACCCATTGAGATGTTTCAACAAATAGATGTAGCACTGGAGACTCTTTTTCATTTATGCCAAGAAATCTGGAAGACAACTACCTGGCCAAGTGACTGGAAGAGAGACATATCTGTACCCACTCCAAAGACAGGTGATCCCACAGAATGTGGAAATTATAGAACAGTATGGGAGTTCTGGTGGCATAGTGCCTAAGGCATTTGACTGCTAACCAGAAGCCTGGCAGTTCAAACCCACCAGCTACTCCCCAGAAGGAAGGTTGGGCAATCTACTTCCATAGTGATACTGCCTCAGAAAGCCAAGGAGGGGTTGCTATGAGTCAGACCTGACTCGACAGCAGTGGGTTATCATTAATACACATGTGAGTAAAATCTTGCTGAAGATAATTCTAAAATGATTGCAGCAATGTATTGACAGGAAACTTTCAGAAATGCCAGCTGGATTCAGAAGAGGATGTAGAATGAACAATATCATTGCTAATGTCAGATGGATCTTAGCTGTAAGCAAAGAATACCAGACAGATGTCTACCTGTGTTTTATTGACTATGCAAAGGCATTTGACTGTGTGGATCATAACAAATTATGGCTAACATTGAGAAGAATGAAAATTCTGGAACACTTAACTGTGCTCACAAGGAACCTCTACATAGACCAAGAGGCTGTCATTTGAACAGAACAAGGGGATACTTCATGGTTTAAAATCAGGAAGGGTGTGCATTAGGGTTGTAGCCTTTCACCACACTTACTCAATCTACTTGCTGAGCAAATAATCTGAGATGCTAGACTATATGAAGAAGAGCACACCATCAGGATTGGAGGAAGAACTACTAATAACCAACAATATGTAGATAACATAGCCTTGTTTGCTCAAAGTGAAGATAACTTGAAGCACTTACTGATGGAGATCGAAAACTACAGTCTGCAGTATGGATTACACCTCAACATTAAAAAAAAAAAAAAAATGAAACTCCTCACAACTGGACCAATAAGTGACATCATGATAAATGGAGAAAAGATTGAAATTTTCATTTTACTTGGATCCACAGTCAACACCCATGGAAGCAGCAGGCAGGAAATCAGACATTGTATTGCACTGGGCAAATCTGCTGCAAAAGATCTCTTTGAAGTGTTAAGAAGCAAAGACGTCGCTTTGAAGACTAAGGTGTTCCTGACTCCAGGCGTGGTATTTTCAATTGCCTCATATACATGTGAAAGCCAGACAATGAATAAGGAAGACTGAAGAAGAGTTGATGCCTTTCAGTTGTGGTGTTGACGAAGAATACTAAAAATAGTATGGACTACCAGAAGAACAAACAAATCCATCCTGGAAGAAGTGCAGCTGGAATGTTCCTTGGAAGTGAGAATAACCAGACTTCGTCTCACCTACTTTGGTCATGTTGTCAGAAGGAAACAATCCATATAGAAGGATATCATGCTTAGTAAAGTAGAGGGTCAATGAAGAAGGGGAAGACCCTCAACAAGATAGATTTACACAGTGGTTGCAATGATGGGCTCAAACATAGCAAGGATTGTGAGGATTGGTGCAGGACTGGGCAGTGTTTTGTTCTATTGTACATAGCGTTGCTATGAGCCAGAGCTGATTTGACGGCACTTAACAACGACAATCTTTACAGGAACAGATCACCAGGTCTTTTTCCCTCAGAGCTACTGAATAGGTTCAAACTGACAGTCTTTTGGTTAGCAACTGAGTGCCTACATATTGTAGCACTAAGGCTCCTTCATATCCATATATAGGCACCACATGAACAACAAAGGAGATGGCTATCAACAGGACTTTGGCAAAACCGTCTTAATCATAGTAACAAAGGGCCGATTCAAAGACATGATTTATTTTTTACGTATCTGTGCTTCAAGCTTTCTGTGCCTTTAACCAGTATACAGGAGCACACAGGATGACACTAACAGTTAAGTGCTCAGCTACTGATTGAAAGGTTGACAGTTTGAATCCACCCAGAGGTGCTTTGGAAGAAAAGGCCTGATGATCTACTTACAGAAAATCAGCCACTGAAAACCCCATAGAGCACAGTTCTACCCTGACACATGGGCTCACTGTGAGTCAGAATTGACTCTATGACAGCTTAACCAATATACAGGTAGGAAAGTTTCTCTACAGACACTTTAATGTAACTACACATTGGGAATCACCTAGAGGTTCTGAATTAAATATTTTGATGGCAATGAATATGAAAAATATTTACAATAAATTAACAGCTTTTATATGTATTAGGAAAGAAATATATTTAAAATATTAGTTCTTGTCTAGAGCGTGTTTCCTTGTATAATATTATTTTGTTGTTTATTTCCCCAACTATGGGGCCTATAACAACCAGATGCCTATTGAGATGTATGGCCAAAGTAAGTTTGATCTTTCAGACAAAAGTTACTAAAATCTCCGGCTAATCATATTGAGGCAAATCTAGATACTGCAAATATGAAACATCTTAGGAAGAGTAAAACTTAAAATACCAATATTATCTTGGGATGATTGTTGATTGTTTTAATTTATCTTTCAACGTTGAAGAATATGATGTTAACTTTTCTAAAATTAAACTTAATTTACATTTAAATGTGTCATCCTTTCCATATAAATCTGTTTTATGACACATAAATTAGACCACATTAGTTCCTGCAAGCAAAAACTTAGCAAAAAAAAAAAAAAAAAAAAAATTGCCTTTTAAATAAGCACCAATTTTTAAAGGTAAATTATAATAAATATATAATGGGATGGTAACTTCAAATTGCTAAAGATTAATAAAAAATGCTCTCTCTTTGATATGATTATGTTTACACTTCAAAAATGAATACATTTCTAACATAAAAGTATATATTCTGTAATAAAACAAGGACTTGCATAACCTAATAGTATACAGTATATGTTGTTGTTGTTGTTATGTGCCGTCGAGTCAAACCCGACTCATAGCAATCCCTCCTTGGGTTTCTGAGCCACTATGCTACCAGAGCTCCCATACAGTATATAGTCTTTAAAAAAATATATAAAGCTTTAAAAATTAAGTAGCCTAGTAAAGTGTCTGACATATACTTAGAAAATTGCCATTTGGTTTAGGAAGAGGATCTCTAGACTACTCAAAAGCTTCATTTATTTAAATTTAATAAGGTTCACATACTTTGGTTCAGTTGGTTTATATACTACATGTATATATGCAACTTTCAATTATTTCATCTAATGAAAGTCAGTGGATAATTCAAAATCATTTTTAAATTGTATTCTGCAGTATAAAGGGTTCAAATTGTGGTCACCCGTCCATACGGTGTATAGGTATTAGAGAAAGAAGTCATTCAAAAAGATTGAGTGTGAAAAGAGTCAGGAAAGATAAGGGAAGGAAAGAAAGTAGGGTCTATTGATCTCTAAGAACTCTGGTAGCATAGTGTTTAAGACACTTGACTGCTAACCAGAAGGCTGGCGGTTCAAACCCGCCAGCCACTCCTCAGAAGGAAGATGGGGCAATCTACTTCCGCAATGATACTGCCTCGAAAACCCAAGGAAGGGTCTCTATGAGTCGGGTCTGACTCTAGGGCACATAACAACAACAACATTGCCCTTCTACACTCTTTCCTGGGGGCATTGGTAGTTCAGAGGCAGAATTCTTGGCTTTCATGCAGAAGACCCAGGTTCAATTCCTGGCCAATGCACTTCATGCACAGCCCCATCGCTCCGTCAGTGAAGGTTTGCATGTTGCTATAACGCTGAACAGATTTCAGTGGAGCATCCAGATTAACATAGACTAAGGAAGAAAGGCTTGGCAGTCTATTTCTGAAAAATCATCCAATGAAAACCCTATGAATCATAATGGTCTAATCCACAACCAGTCATGAAGATGATAGTGGATCTTGAAGCATTTCATTTTGTTGCGCATGGGGTCACCTTGAGTCAGGGACCAACTCCATGGCAGCTAACAAAGAGGTTAGCCTAAAGAGGTTACCCTTAGGGATCTTAGGAGTCTCAAGTATTTGCATTCCTAACTGCCTGAAGTTTCTACTTGAGGTAGCATAGTGCCTAAGGCACTTGACTGCTAACCAGAAGGCTGGCGGTTCAAACCCACCAGCTACTCCTCAGAAGGAAGGTTGGGCAATCTACTTCCCTAGTGATACCACCTGGGAAACCCAAGGAGGGGTCGCTATGAGTCGGGTCCAACTCGACGGCACATAACAACAACATAGGTAGAGATACCACCTTGAAAATCCAAGGAGGGGTCGCTATGAGTTGGAATTGACTCGACGGCAGTGAATTGTTTTGTTTTTTTTTTTTTTTAATAAGATGCAGGACTTTTTTGGGGGGGAGAGTAAGTTACTTTGTCACAATATAGAGAGGCCTTACCATGGAGGGTTTATCAGTGCAAATGTACAACGTGGAGGTGGGGCCTCCACCATTAAAGAGGAAAAAGACATGGTATGCTGGGTGTTGGTAGAATAAATGGCATTCATCAGTTGTTTGCCTATCGGGAATAAGTTAACCGTGACTCCAGTTTTAAGGCTAGATACACAGGAAGATGCCATTAGCCTAGATAACACGAGAAAATATTTAGTACATTAGGACCAGGAGGTATTCAGACCCCTTCTCTTAAAGGTGTTGCTGAGCCCCTGGTCTGCCTTCTCAGACTCTAGGATCATCTTTACCCTTTACTGGTTTCTATCCCTGCTGTTCTACATCAGTTCACATCAGGGCATTTTTGTTGTAGGCTGGTGAAATTACCTTCATTTTCCTTCTCTAATGATCCTTAGGCTTCTTCTATCACCCCAAGAAGTCTTGGCTCTGTGGAATTGCCTCTCCTAGCTCAGGCTGAGCCTCAGAAAAAAGGGTGGGGAAAAGAGAACCCTTACCCCACTTTGTACATTTATACTGATAAAGCCCCACAGTAAGAAAAATGCAGCATCAGGATGGTAGGAAGACTCATTAACAATCTGCCATATGCAGATGACACAACCTTCTTTGCTAAAAGTGAAGAGGACTTATAGCATTTACTGATGAAGATCTACTACAACCTTCAGTATGGATTACATTTCAACATAAAGGAAACAAAAGCCCTCACAATTGGACCAATAAGCAACATCATGAGAAATATAGAAAAGATTGAAATTGTCAAGGATTTCATTTTCCTTGGATCTGCAATCAACACCCATGGAAGTAGCAGTCAGGAAATCAAATAACCTATTGCATTGTGCAAGTCTGCTGCAAAAGACTTCTTTAAAGTGTTCAAAAGCAAAGATATCATGTTGAAGACTATGGCATGCCTGACCCAAGCCATGGTATGTTCAGTCATGTCATTTGTATGTAAAAGTTGGACAATGAATAAGGAAGACCAAAGAAGAATTGGTGCCTTTGAATTTATGATGTTGGCAAAGAATATTGAATATACCATGGACTGCCAGAAGAACAAACAAATGTGTCTTAGAAAAAGTACAGCCAGAATGCTCCTTAGAAGAGAAGATGACAAGACTTTGTCTCATGTACTTCGGTCATGTTATTATGAGGAACCAGTCCCTGCAGAAAAACATCATGCTTGGTAAAGTAGAGAGAGGTTCAGTGAAAGAGAGGAAGACTCTCAAGGAGAAGGATTGACATAGTGGCTGCAACATTGGGCTTAAACATAGCAATGATTGTGAGATGGTTCAGGACAGGGCAGTGTTTCATTCTGTTGTACATGGAGTAGCTATGAGTCTAAATTGACTGGATAGCACTTAACAACAAGAACAACTAAATTACCTGCAGGAGTCCCTAGGTGGTGCAAATGATTATGTGTTCAGCTGCTAACTGAAAGATTAAAGGTCATTCCCACTTAGAGGTGCCTTGGAAGAAAGGCCTGGTTATTACTTCTGAAAAATCAACCATTAAAAACTATAGAGTACAGTTCTAGTCTGACAGACATGGGATCCCCATGAGTTCTGATCAATTCAGTGGCAACTGATTTGTAGGTTTTTTGTTTGTTTGTTTAAATTACCTGCATTGAATGCTTGATCACAGTGTAAAACCACTAACATTTCTGACTTTGAATGCATGTAAGGTTTATCGCCTATTTTGGCAAATCCCTGACTATTTTTGTTGCTACTTGTGGTAGTTAAGGTTGTTTGACAGTGTGCCTGGGCAGCTGGATATAGTTATTCCCCATGGTGAGATTGGTAATTAACTCCATGGTAGAATCTACTGCAGCAGCTGAGTAGCTGCTTTAGGGACATAGGCTGCTTCCAGTAGATAAGAAGCAACTTTGAGGAAGATATCCAGCTTTGATGGCATGCTTGAACCCTGCATGTAGCCAAGTCATTGTTCAGCAGCCTGCCATGTTGCCCTGACAATCTTGGGACTTTTAATGGACTTGAATTAATGGCCTGCCATGTGGTTTGGTAATATTGGGACTGTGCCTTTTCACTTGTCAACCTCGGGTTTGTCAGCCTCAGTGGCCAGTGGCTATCTGAGTGAAGAAATGCTGTAGCTTCAGTGGGCTGGGAGCAAGAGGCAGAGCTGAAGCCCAAGGTTGAGGGGCTTTCACCCAGGCCCCAGGGCTTGGCACTTTGAACTCAGACTTTAAGCCCCCAAAATTGTAAGAGAGTAAATTCTGTTTGTTAAAGCCATCCCATTTGTGGTAAATTCCTCTCAGAGTGGCATGAGGTGACTGAAATACTACTGCACCTTTCTAGTCAAGTGCTTGCAGTACTTATCCCCAATTCTGCAAACATTCCTGCTACAGCTGCCAATGGCCAATTGTCCACATGTTCTTTGGCAATTATCAGAGTCAGGCTGTCTATTCATAAGCAATTTACTCTAGGGTTAGTTCCTTTGTCAAGCAATTTCCTCAAGAGCAATAGCTAACTTTGTGCAACTTATGTGGATCCTGCCTAGTGATATTTTTGCTATAGTGCAGTGAAAGAGCAGGTTTGAGGGTCTAGAATAAAAAGAACTCAATTTGAATGATCAGTTTGAATGTTAGATCTAGAGAAGCTCTGTCCAATAGAAATATAATGTTAGCCAGGTATGTAACATTAAATTTTCTAGTATCCACAATTAAAGAACAAGACAAAATAAACAGGTGAAATGAATTTTAATAATACATTTTATCTAACTCATTATATCTAAAATAAATTATTTCAAATGTAAACAATATAAAAATTACTGAGCTATTTTTCATTTTCTTTTTTTGTACTAAGTCTTTGAAACGTGGTGTGTATTTTGCTCTTATATTACATCTCTGTTTGGACCAGTGCTCACGAACCCTGGGCGAATAGTGTTTACCTTATTAGGCAGCACAAGTCTGAAGACTGGCGGAGAGGTGAAGATTCGGGAATTTCAAGCAGAGAAGTAATAGGAAGTCGTGGATGAGATGTTTTTGTAGACGGTATAGAGAAGCCTGGGAAATGTCCACATTTTCACTAAAGGAGCATGTTAACTAAGAGGTGTCAAAGTAAATATAAGATGTTAACAGGTTAACCAGGAGTTGTAGAAACCAAAAGAAGAGCAAGTTTCAAAAGAGATAGGGGTTTAAACATGATAAGAAGTCAACAGGGAGCTCTGGTGGTGTAGTACCTAAGGCACTTGACTGCTAACCAGAAGACTGGTGGTTCAAACCCACCAGCCACTCCTCGGAAGGAAGGTTGGGCAATCCACTTCTGTAGTGATGCTGCCTCGGAAACCCAAGGAGGGGTCACTATGAGTCAAAATCAACTTGACAGCAGTGACTTGTTTTTTTTTGGGGGGGGGGGAAGAAGTTGACAAAGATTTTCTGATTGATTTATGTAGAAAAAGAATCCTTTCTGTTAGAGCCTTTCCAGGTAAGAATCTCTTCTAAATGGAACAATAAATATTCTGCTCTGATAAATACATCATGATAGGAATAATCCAGTTCTTACCCTCATTATGATTTTATCCAGTCTTTCCTTGGGTGTACAAACAGTTACAGCTGTTAATCAAATGGTGGGAGGTTCATGTCCACTCAAGAGTACCTGGGAAGAACTGGGGATCTACTTGTGAAAGATCAGCCATTGAAAACCCTGTGGAGCACAGTTCTACTCTGACATATACAGGATTTCCATGAGTTAGTCTCCATGAGTTGGAGTCGACAGCAACTGGATTGGTTCTTCACAAATTATCAGCCCAGGGCCTTGTATCATTATGAAATCTTCAGAACATGGAAGCAGAGTTGTAGGAAATGATATTGAAGATATTTGGAATCTATGAGATATACCACAATTACTCGCAAATTATGACAAAACTGTAATATAGGAGGGTAATATAAAAAGAGGAAGTTGCAGGAAACAACTGGACAGACAGGGACCCTTCTCAAGACAGAAAAAGTGATTGAGTAGAAAGATGATGAGCACTTATAAAAGGCTTTAAGCTCCTTTCCTCATGGTCATATTAGGTTTGTTTTTACAAATGTCAATACCAGGAAGGTGAAAACTGCATTATGGCCTATAACTTTCTGGAAGGCAGGAAACTGAAGAAAATACAACCAGAAGTGGGCCCAGCATTGGCAGAGCAAGGGGAGTAGAGCACAATTTGGGTGAGGCTGGAAGGGTTTTCTTGGCTGCCTCCCGGATTCAGCACAGGTTGTGGCATTCCAGGGAACTGGGAAGATGAACCAGAAGCAAGCATACCCCATAGTGTTTGAATGCTGATACAGGAAAAATATCACCACTGTTTG